TTTAATTAAGATTTATGATTATAATTATTTTATTCTATTAAATTTTATTTAAAACTAGGATTAGATACCCTATTATAAAAATTTAAATTAATTTACTAAAAAATTAATAGTTATGTTCTTTAAATTTAAAAAATTTGGCGGTATTTTAGTCTTATTAGAGGAACCTGTTTTTTAATTGATAATCCACGATTAATTTATATATACGCCACTGTCAGTATACTCTTAAAAATAAAATCTACAGTTGTGCCATCCTCTCGAGAATAATAAAATATCACAAATTCACAACTAATCTTATTGGTCCATTTACTTATATTAATGGCATTATTTATACAGTATTAGACACTCATCATCTGTTATTTCACATTCTTAGCTGATTTTTCTGTATCTCAATGACCTGATGTGACAAAATACATTTGTTTATGCCAAATGTACTTTATAGTATTTACCTATGAATTTTTCTTTGTACAGAACCGTCAGTCATTAAACATTTGTTAAGTATAAGTACATTATTAACCTTTGAGCCGATTATTCTTCAACATTTTTGTATCATTATGTACATATTCATAATTAATATAAATTTTAAATCTCAACGTTATACCTATATAGACTTTGTTGCATTTATTTTTTTTGGTGAATTGTAATTAAAACATGTTTTGAAGTGGCTCTCAAAGAAAAACATTGGCCGCCTTACATTTGGAACACATTCGAGATAAATCAAAATAAAACATCTATATATAACCTTTGTTGAGTGATTTTATTAAAGACAATAAAATTACACGAGATACACGCATGACCGTACCACACTTCAAAGACGTCATTTTTACACATTTATTTATATGCTGAGTTCTAAGTTATTTATAGCCCTAGATTGATCAATACATCATTAACAAATGATAAAATAAGTAATCATTATGTATATACTATCTTCTATGAATGATTTGCTCTGCACAAATATATTAAGTTAAATACTGTCAGAAGTATAATATGGTTGATTAAAAAAATGTACTCAAAATGTATTTATTTTTTTTAAACATTTTAATCATACTCGCATTTTAAAGGATGGTACATATAGAGTAATGAATAAACTATATGAAAGTATCAGCTAAAATAATCAACATGGGAATTACTTGATGAAATATATTATATAGCGCAGTTCAAGAAATCAAAACATTTGATTATCTGTGGATAAATAATATTTTAAATATTTTGAGTATGCGACACAATAATATCTAGAATTAAGTAACCGCAGACACGTGATTGACAAAATAGAGCGACATTTAAAGGTAAAATTGTAATGTCTGTGTAGAATAAGATAACATATTAACATATAACGATATCTCAAACAAAATAATAAAAATAACTATTCATAAACAACTCAAAGTTAAGGAGAGCCAATTTTCATATATAAAAGTTTCTACATACGAATGACTTACAAAAATACAATAAATTCAAAATATATTTTAAAATAAAATATCAAATGATGATCTAG